AAGATTGACTTCTAAAAGTCGATTGAATTCAGCTCTTCATTTATTTTAGCTGAGTTCCATGTGTAAGTAAATAAATAATAAAAAAAATCGCCGGAGTAAAAGCATCACACAGCACAATCTAAGTACCATATTCGAACTTTTGCTACTTTTAGAATATCTCGTACATGCTTACATTAATGGCCATCTAGACAAGTATGGCTACACTGCCTAAACTTTGAAATATTGTATCCCATTTGAGGTATCTTGTTCTTAAATTTCGCACAAATGTTGGCTATTTAAAATTTCCTATGCAAAGAACGCCAATTATCCCACAGATCTCATATCTTTGCCTCACAAAAAATTCTCCTATTTTTAAATTCAAATTTGAAAATCGCAACTGGCCTTTCATGCGCGGGAATTAGACTAGTAACTATACACATATATTTTATATAAAAGAATTCATCGCAAACTTTTCGGTGTCATTCATGCACGTAGGTGCAGTCCTATAACGGACAATTTTATGCAAACAATATTAAAGTGTAGAAGACTAATTTTCAGCTTTGCGTTGAACATGCACCGGCCCTCATAACTAAATTGATCTCAACCTGATCTTAGCCGGAATTGAAGTAAAGTAGTAATCATAGATAGACAAACTAACAATAATATGAAGCAAACATGGTTTAGTCGATTCCATATTTTACGTTGACCCTATATAAGGAATACAAAATATATACCGTAAGATATTCAAAGTACTTCGCTGCATAATAACCGGCACATATAAAGTAAAACAAACTAAAATTTTCTCCCTACTCTAGTTTTATTTTATGCTTTCAGACAAGCACTATACCTTCGTTGCATAACATACATTAAGCTTCCGCCTAAAAAACCAAAAAGCAGACAACTTGTGTACTATAATCCATTATGCGGTTGTAAGTAGACACCCGCGCTTTTCTTGTTCATCTTTCTGAAGATACTTTACTTTACGTAAAACTTAATAGTCTAGTGGCATTCAACCGGTAAAGGACAAGTAATAAACTTATTTTATTGACATAATACTGATAAAATTTTGAAGTTTTGAAAAACGTGCAATAAAAATAACAATACAGGCAATGTCTTAATTTTGGTTGAATTGCAAACAAAAAATGCTTTCATATCAATTTACCCGCAGGAAATCAGTGACTGCAACTAAGTGCTTAAAGCACTTTTACTTTTCTATATAACTATTTAACACTTGTCTCGATTTGCTAATAAATACGACCACAAACGTTTGTGGTATTAGAAATATTTGCCATGAAAATTTGATATATTTTTCATAGTTATTGCACTATTCTATGTGCAAATTGCTTTAACCGCAGTGAAACATATTATGTATTCACTTTTTGTTGCTTTACTTTTTTCACGGCTCTTCAAAAACCATATCACATCACTTGTGTGTCAGTAAAGATTTTTAATTTTAATTTTTTCGTTTTTTTCCTTTGGCTCTTTTTCGAAATTTTTTATTTACACTTCAAAGCATACGGTAAGTGCTTTTTATATGCGTTTCTTGTGAAAACGAAGTTGTTGATGCAACAAAAAGATATTCTGCGGTTTTTGCAATTAAAAGATATACAAAAACAATATTACAAATATATAGATCGACAAGAAAAGAAACGCTTCCTGTTATCAAAGACAATGCGATTTAAAGTCCTCAGTAATATTACAAAGTAATAGAAAGCCCAAATTATTTAAAAAAAAAAAAACGAAATTATTATAAATTTGAAGTTGAATGTTGTTGCTTTTGGAATTTTTCTTTAAGCTCTTCAATCTTCTATACAATATATGCGTTCATTTTGCTGTGTTTATGTATTTATATCTTTCATTTATTTTATAATTTGAAACGTATGGTAAGGAAACGCCATTTTTTTTAAATTTTTGACAACTTTGCGATTGTGTTGTCTTTTATCAACTGCCAAATGGAAAAGATTTTCAAAAACTGTTTGATTAATTGTGATTTTTATACACCGCAATTCACAAGCATCTGGGAGTAATTAAATGAGCGGGCCTAAAATCCACTTGCTACAATGTTTTTGCTCTTCTTTAGTTAATTCTTGTAGCTCAACTTTTCTTAAAGGTTTAACTTTTCCATCAATTAATCTTCAGTTGCTGACATACTTCTGAAAAAAGAGAGGAGCACGAAGACAGGATCCTATCATATTAATAATCAAATTTATCTTCCTACCTTCATAGGGTAGAAAGATTCTAGTATTAAAACTATTCCAATGTTTTTTAGTTTTTAAGCAATCGGAAACGAAATCTCTTGATATAACATGCATATGCAAACGTTGCTTGAACATATTCTTGGTTAGTATGGGCTACCGACGCCTCTTAACTCTTTCGGTGACTTCGTTTGAAGGCCTTTAAAAAGTCAAGTTCGCAACATTAACTCTACCTAAGAAAATAAATTATTAAATCTACATTCATTCTCTTCAGACCTGTACGGTTAGAAAGTCAAAAGTTTCAAGCACAAGGTATTTATATATTGCGCCTGTATTGAAGTATTTCGAGCTTTTGTTTATTTTCATAGAAAGATTTTGAGCTTTTGTTTTGTAAACTTTATTATACGGGATATTTATTTATGGTCGGGGATATAAAAACTTCGAGTATTCTGTTACTGCATTAACAGTGCATTAACTTTGTTATAAAGTCTAGTAGTAGCGGAAATGTTCATTTTAGAAAAAATATTACCGCCGTAAAATAGGCTTTATTTTTACTTACTTTTTTTTCTTAGCATAACGAATGAAACTTTACAGTGAAATGAAAAAAAATCTTGTATGAAAAGACAACCTAGATAAAAAAACCTTCTACTTCCTACAGAAGCTTGGCGTCCTAGAAGGTTTGCGTGACATGTTATGCTAAAAACAAACTACGTTTTAATTCAATTAGTGTATCCTATGGTCTTTTCGAAATTATAATTGCTTTCAATTTGGTTCCACTTGTATTCATACAAGAATTGTAAAAATTGTATGAGCAGCGCAATAACAGGAATTTTAAATTATGTGAGCAAGAGGAAGAATTTTTAAATATTTGACGACCCGTAAATTGTGTGAGCAAGAGGAAGAAGTGCAAAAATTGTATTCAACTGTCAAGTAAGAAAACAATTTTTTTTTAAATATTTTATTCACTTATTGATAAGTTTCTTTTGTTTTAGAATTACAAATCAATTTTGAATATGGATGAAAACAATGCAATTATATGTGCTTCATTTGAATCGCTGTTAACTTCAAATAGAGTCTCGACCGACGTACTATAAGCAAGATCTCTTAGCATACAAAGCTTATGTTAAAGACCCTGCTTCTCCTAAATGGAATGTATTTTGCAGATATACTAACGAGCCAAAAAGAACCAAGTGAAGAAGGAAGAAAAATCACTGTGGTAGGATATCTAATAATGTTGATTTCAAGGGTAAGTAGAATCAGTTAAGAATAGCTAGCAACGGTGCCGAATAAGATGTTGATCACATAAATAACTATTTTTTAGGTGCTTTGAATTTTAGCTCTGATAACGTAACATATTCTCCTTTGCATGTATTAACGGCTACGAGCTTCACACCGCGTTTGCTAACATTAAATCAATCGTCTGCGGTGTTGATGGAATACCGTTAAAATTTTTAAAAAAGGTTTTCCTTTAATAAGTAACCATATATTACATCTATTTAATAGCGTTATAAAAACCGCTGTTTTTCCAGAAAATGTTACTCCAAAATACGCTTTCATAACATATATTTAGGTAACCTTGCAACATGTTTAAGTGAAAATTTGGATTAACATCAGCAATTAGTTATAAGTCAGTGTTTGTGAGCGCCATGTGCGTGGTCATGGTTGTGGGCTTGCCGCGTAAGCTTCGGGCATTTGCAACAACAAGCGGCAGATATGCGGACGAAGAAACGGACTTAGTAAAATTATGCTGCTGATTGAGAATATCTATTTTATGGAATTTTTAACGAATATTTCTAAATATATTTCTGAAGGTAACAAATGGAAAAACAATCTTTTGATGTTTCCATCCCACTATGATGTGTATTTAAGCATAATATACACAAATAATCAATATCATTTAAATTCAATAATATCTAAACTATCTAAAAACCCCCTTCAAATAGTTTTTCTAATGTTTTACAGTCAATGGACCAACTTTTAACTTTAACTTCGTCCTTAAGATTGAATCTAAGGTAAATTAAGACTGTCCTTATCTGCCGTGCATAAACATTAAGTAAGATTAACACTAACTTTATTAAGTTTAAAAGTCAATATTAACCAACGTTGCTAGCGTTTCACCCCTGGTCCTCCCCTATTCCCTTTCGCTCCTTCTGCTTGCACAAGTATGCATGCGCCAAGGGAGCGAAAAATAAAACACAGCAATGCAGCAAATAAATGATCACAACTCTTCTTGAAGAGTTTATTTTATCATCATAGTTTTATAAACTACTATTATCTTATCAGCAATATTGCTCTCTGCGGCTAATAATCGATAAGACCTATTCAGTGAAGAACTATTAATTTAGGAAAGTTGTAGACAAAAATTGGGCAACTTAAACCAACTTATTCTCTACAAATACGGAATCTGAAAATAAGGGAAAATTTCCGACTTCATTATATGCACTGATCGCGATCAAAATGATTATAGCAACTAAAAAGCGATTTTTGAAGTGTTAGAGTTGCTAAAATGGCAGGTGTCGGGCGATTTTCTTTATCATTTAAAAGTTGGGATAACTTAAATGCAGCAGTGCTACGATTTTTTTTCGATCGCTGCAACATGAAGAGAATTGAATAAGTTTTAAGGAAGAATTATCTGAAACAAACATGATAATGGAGCCAGCGCGCCGATAACTCATTAAAAAAATTGGACATATGCTATAAGAATTATAAACGATGGTATTTTTAATTTTAATTCCATACTTTCGTAAGTTAGTTATTGCTATTCATCACCAACCGAGCCTAATAGCCGAATTAATGCGGAAATAAACCAAGCCTTTTTTCACTTACCTTACATATCCCATTGACACATACAGCTCCTTCTTGATAATTATACCGATAATATTCAGCCGGGCGATAGCACATTGTGCCATCTATGACAGTATCGTTTAAAGTAGCAAAATACTTCATGCCTACTGGTTTACAATTCAGTTCACATTCAGCATCATCTACATGGTGTATAAATGCATTTTCAAAAACATATATTTTATTTTCGAAGTAGACCGAAGGGCAAAAAAAAAAACATTTAAAATGAACTTACCTTTAATATAAGGTTCCCACTTGTACTTGTTTCCCTGGAAATCCACGCCGTTATAATAAGAGCATTGCAAGGCACGAAAATTTTCATTGGAATAAGGGCATGTCTACGTAAAGAAATTCGTAATTTATTAACTATATTCTAGAAATTGGAAAAAAAATATTGTATGTTCCGTTGTGGCTATTTAACGTCAATATTACGGCTTTTATAATAAAGGGAACATGTCTTAGTAAGACGAAATTGAAAAATCTGAAGACTAAGGTATATATAACTATGTTTTGTGCCATGTAAGAGACCATTGATGTTGATATAGGTATTTCATTTAATATATGCGCGTTTATGTGTATGTGTGTGTGGGTTAGGCTAAGTATACTTAGCCTTTCCTTTTAGTTTTTCAACTCCGCCACAGAAAGTAAATTTATTCGGATCTCTTGTCGTTTATTTTAACTTTCATCATTATCACGAACCTGTTCATTACACAATTGGTACCGTCTATAAATACCAACGCAATCATTACTTAAGTAACGTTTGCCACTCGAAGAATTTCTGAAAAGAGAAAAAAAAAGAAAAACATATATATTTGCATTCGCATAGTACAAAAATATGTCGTACTTTGAAAACGAATATGTATATCACTTTAATTAAAGGCGCCATTACAAACTTTTATATGAAATTTTGAAACTTTGTCATTTATAGTACATTCAAACAACTCGATTCATTTTGATATCCCATTAGCAATATCATCTTCGAGATGTTTTTTGAAAATTATTAGCACAATTCATGTCGCCATCACTTCTGTAATTGCTTTAATTTTATAATGCAGTCAAGTTCACAGTTATATTTTATGATCATTTATTTCAATTGTGCCATTGTATTCATTTCAAGCTCCTAATTAAGACCAAACGTTTCAAGGATGGAATTGAATATGTTCGAATATAAGAAAAATTATTTTAATCATTGCATTGATAATGAATACAATATTACATCTTAATCGTTATTAGCAACAACAACAGTTATATTCTCCTATAGTGAAACGGACAAAATTTCTTTTCGTAATAAATGCCTAAAACAGCTGTTTATTTTAAGTAAGCAATTGCAAGTATCGCCGCAAATAATGTCCAGTATAAAAAAGATAATTAATTATCCGAATTTGTTGATTAAGCCGGACAACAAATATTTGTTCTTCCATTATAGAGTAAACTTGTAGAGTAAACACTTTTAAAAACAATTAAAAAAGTTATATTCGGCGAGGGCCGAATCTCGATACCCAACACGATGTTTCTCGCATTCTACACTCCAAGTTCTTTTATTTGATACCCATATCGCTAGTGTTATTAAGAAAAAAGTAATCATGGTATCTACCATATTCATTTTAAAATTAACCCATTTTTAGGCAGATAATATATCCTCATTTAAGGAGTGTACAAAATAATTTTAAACATTCGGTCTTGTTTGCCTTAAGAAAAAGAAGCATAAAACCTCAAAAAAGTGAAAAAAAATTTAATCACTTGTAATTTGGCATGGCAAATATTTTCCATTTTTAGACGTATGGAGAAGAGTGCTTCGTAAAGTAAATGTGAAAGACTTTAGCCTTCTAGCTTTTACAATTTCCGAGTAACAAGAAAAAATCCAAATATTTTTGTTAAAAAAAACAGAGCTGCGTTCACTTTACGCTCCAATGCGCGTTTCCGCTTCCACCGATTTGACTCATTTTCATTATCAACTTTCGCAAACCTTCGTAAACGCCTGAGTTGGAAAGATGCATCCTCGACTGACAGACTGTCGAACTTGCATTCAAATCCAGCGACTGCAAATCGTGTTATTCCGTTGGATGTGGCAACGTGTTTATTGCATCGGTCCAAAAACGATTATCGAAAAGGAAATTAACATAAAGTTCTATTTAAAACTTCACAAAATTTGTACCACAACTGTAAAATCCACAAACTTTTCAAAATCTATTTCGTTAATATTTTCATGCATTTTCTTCGTCGGGTTGATATTATAAGATTGAACATATTCGTGTGATAGATTCCTTTGTTGCTTTAGTGTTTAAGAAACACTAAGGCTTAAACTTGAACAATGATTCATTAAAATTATGAAACAAGTGAAGGAAAAATGCAATGAAAAAATTGTGCCCGCAAGAAATTAATTCAAGTCAAAATTAAATTTTCAATTTTTTTCTTATCTACAAGGCATTTTTACAATTTGAGCTATCAATGGGTATTAGTGGTTATCAATAGTGGGGCATTAAGCATACTTTCAGCGTTACTTCTTTCATTGAGGTAGTTTATGTCTACGGAGTTCTCAAGCTAAACGAAAGGTGCTGGCTAAAGTTGCTAATTATAAATCAATTTATGCTGGATTTCATCTAAGGTTCTTTTTATTTGCTAACAACTCGGTTATGTTCAGGGATGATAGAAAAATAATTAGGATCATGCTCGCGGCAGTAAACAGTGGGAGTAAGCCTTAAAGTTAGGTCACATTTTATGCTATTTCGAGTTTGGCAAAAGAAAAAAACATTGTTAAAAAATTTATTACGACGTAGTATTAATATTACTTATATTATATGTTTTATATAATTATTCTTTAGAGCGTAGTCAAAAACTTGGGCTAACATTACGCCGGCTAAAGTTTATAGTCTTTGAAAAAGGTTTGTAAAATTCGGTATAGGAAAATTTAGTCATTTCCTTGCAAAGCTCTCTGGTATCAAGAAAATCATTTTTCTGACATTTACAACTAAATTAATGTTGCATGATAATTATTAGCGCATATAGGTTTAAATTGATTTAGCTGCGTTAAATAGATTAAGAGAGATTTAAAAACAAAATTTAACGATTCTAAAAAGAAGGAGGTCATCGCAACGTTTTTAAGACCATCTATATAAAAGAACTAAAACCATCATTCAACATATTCCTTGTTCGTTCAAACTGTTTTACAAATCTTTGAGGAACACGGTTTTGAGTAAAAATAGTTTTGCTGAAATAATACCTACTTATTTTCCTATTAAACAGGTGCAGCTTACGCTGTGAGCCAAGAAATACACAACATATCTAATGTATAATGTCAAAAACTCCTTTTTTTTAGTGACATTATCAAGTTTTACAAGCGCTGAAACCAATTTTCACAGTACTTGGCCAACATCGCCAAGCAATTAGCTCTTAAGGGATGCTGAAGTAAATTATAAAATTAATCGTTGTCTCTTCGCTTTTTCATACGCATAAATAACAAATTTTGCACCTGCAAGGTGTCTTAAAGACGCTTTTGAAGCAATCGAAATGAATTTTTGGAGCATCTCTTTTGACCATTGTCATTGATGAAAAGTAAACGGAATATTGAATGAAAATTACAAACGCGGATACTTCATTAGGTTAAAGAGTCTTAATCAGGTTACATAAAGATATATCAGCATAGCAAAAGGTTTAAAATCATCCGCGGACTAGCTACGGGCGCAATTAAATGCGCTAAACCAATGGTTAGTGAGGTTGACTCCCAAAATTTAAGTTGATTGTCGAATTCGTAGCAAATCGTCGTATTATCATCGCACAGCAATATTTTTTGGTGAATTTAAGCAAATTCCGTCCATACAACTAGAATTTCCAAGTAGACATTGAATAATAAAAATATTATATGCTAATTACATTTCTGGGGATTTGAAAGGAAACAATTATCTGATAGAAGCTAACGTAACATAAATCTTAATGTTTATTTCTTGCTTTTAATTTTAGAAATAATTATCTAAGTTAATATAAATATATTTTATTTAACTTTAATAAATCAACTGTCTCCAAGTTATTAAAAAAACACAAAAACAAACAATTTAAAATATCTAGTATATAAATACTGATGTAAAGTTTTGGTTTGCACTTCACGCACTGTTTTAAAATCATTTCATTAAAAACAAAGTAACAAAATGGAAAACCATATATTAATTTTTCTAGTATCGGTAATGATATCCACCGACAAGAGCTACGCAATACCACTAGTCGGAGTTGCAAAGTTGGAGCTACCGCTAATCCAAACAATTCCAATCCTTCCGAACTTTACAAGGGACATGTATAAAGATTCCCATAAAAATACACAGAAAATTGAAAGCGTGTCCCAAAACTCGAACGAAAACCAACTGGAAACACCGTTAGATAACAATTATAAATATGGAGACAATAATCCTTTGCAAGAACTGAATATCACTGCGACACTACCAATGCAATTGCCGAGTGTTGATTTGTTAATAAATGCAACAGTACCAATCGAATTGCCGGACAATCAAGAGTCAATAGATAAGACAATATCAATCGAATTTCCAGGAATTGTCGGGGAAATAGGTAAAAAAATACCATTCGTATCGGCGGAAGTCAACGTGGAAGTTGATGAAAAACCGCTTAATAACCTTGTGAAGATAGTTCAAAGCGCACCGCGAATTTCAACGGAAAATTGGGTTGAAATATCCTTGGATAAATACTATGAACAAGCAGAGAATAATAATTCACATTTCTTGAATATCATTGCGGGAATACCGGTCGAACTGCCAAAAGTCGAAGTGTCAGCGCTCAATGAAGTTAGGACGAATTTGGACAAAAACTCCGATAAAAGGACCATGAAAGATGCTCAAGTTGTGGCCGAACAATCGGAGGATAATTGTCTAGAGATACATTATGAGAATTTTGACGATCATGATTGTGATTGCGTATATATTTAAGCGAATATTCACATCTAAGTCCCATTGTTTATATGTTGCATAACCTCTGCTTCTGCTTAATTGTTCTTTAAAAATATACGTTTAATACTTAATAATTTACATAATTTATGTTCAAATTAGGGGAAAAGTCATTTTTATCTTTTTTTCTTACCATTGCTTAAGTAAGAACTTTATAAATATTATAACGTCTCTTTATATGCCTCATAGACTTGGATCAAAGTGAAATTTTGAATAAATCTTGACGAAACAGTGAAGATCTGAAAAAATAAATCGGAATATACTTTCTAAACGAAGAAATCAAAGTTTTCCAAAAAGCTATCAATCCTTTTGTTATTGCGTTAAGAGCAGATGTTTTTAAATTTTTTGTTTTTTAATTGTATTACAATCTCAGTACGTATATGCTTGCCTAATCCATTTTCAAAAATAATGAAATTCGTTGCAATAAGTTTCCACAGCAATCGTGATATGACTTTATTATATCTACCATTAAAGAACGAATAAACATTACTTTTGTTATTTCGTTTGTAACGCTCGTAACGATAGAGTAAAGAATTCAGGTTTTCTTTTTCTCATTTATTGTATTTTTATATTTTTCTGACCATTTAATGTTCATTTTGTTATTGATTTTTTTGTTTTAGATTTTTAATCGGTTTAGTTAAATTGTCAGAATGAGTAAAATTGAGATAACCAAACAAAGATCTCAAGGCGTTCCATAAATCAAATCAGTATGCCTTTTTCCCTTCTCCATCAATTGCTAAAAAGCTACTGGCACGTAAACGAAACTAAATGTTCAAATATCGTTTGAGTAAGTCTCCAAAGTATATATAAGCTGTGCTCAAACTATCACACG